ACGAGTGTCATCCGAAATAAGTTATCTTTGGTTGGTGGATATCATGTTCCAACTTTCGAAAAGATTTGAAAGTATTTCATAATAGAGTCTACATAAAATATACTTATGAATTTGAGAAATAATTACTCTCAATTGAGATTTCGTGATCTGATTTATTGTTTTTAGCCGTGATAGGAAAAGACGATAAGCTCAATACCTAATGTGAGTAATGTAATCACTAACTCGCTAGGTTGCATTAATTTATTAGTTATTACTGTGACGAAAAGGCACTCAAACACTTAGCATGTAACACGCGTGGTTTTCCTCTGTTCTCCGTTCTATTCTGGGCGGTAATGATTTCTTATCTCCTAGTATCCATATGGTGTCCTTCTCCTCCGTAGGTATATTGAACTTTTATGCCGTCTTACTTCCGATTCTAACAAAGATCCCCATTACTTCATAATGCAGGGTTCGAATCCCAGAAGTTCATGCGAACCTCTCATTGGTGCCCTTAATAAGGTAAGGGCATTTGGTGGTTTCTATAGTTTCTTTACTCCTCATCTGTTTCTTTCTTAGAATTCTCCTAATGAAACTATGTTGGATCCTCGTTGATTCCTCTATTGGTTGTTGTGGTGAGGTGGTTACATCTATCTAAGTGTTTTACACGAGAATGAGAATGTCTAAAGAATCTATGAGATTAATAAAAATTAAATTTTTATGAAGATGATCCTTTCTGGTCTTTCTATAATCACGAAGTGTGTACAGATTATATATAATCCAGATCAAATAGACCTTCGAATAAGTGATTCTACTCTAAAACCACAACCAAACAAGGAACATGAAGTAGAGTGAAAATCACTTATTCTAAGTCTATAAAATCTCAACTATATATAACCTTAAAGTATACACTTAGTAATTATAGATCTACCACAAAAGGTATTTTTAACAATTCCCTAAAGTTATTTATGGTACCTAAAATACTTCTATGGTATTTTAATTATATGTTTGATTCTTGAACTTATAGATATATGAAGTTGATAAGTTTTCAGTTTTGTTGTTATAGCATCCTAAAATACTCCTATAGTATTTTAACATTTATGTTTGGTTCTAGAATTCTTCTAGTACCTAGGCAAGTTTTAGACTTGTTGCAACACTACAATCACTCCCAAACACATGTTGCTCATATCTCAAATAAATATAGTTGATCAAACTATATTGATCCAATATATGATTAGATAACCGTCCAGGTTTAACTATAATGTCCAACATCCAAATACTTTTGTTTTTGTTCTTCTTGTGATACTCGTTCTATTATATATATATATATATATATATATATATATATATATATATATATATATATATTCTACATGCACTTATACTTTTATAAAATATTGTTATATATTAAAGTATAACTCTTGGTTAGAGTGTTTTTATCCCAATGTGTTTATAGTTGTATATATTTTACGAATGAAATACTAAGTTCNTGTTCTGATACCAATGTGTCACACGCCCAAACCAGAACGGCGAAAACGTTCGGGGGCGGAGCACGTCATGTCAAGTATCACAACACATGCATTATAGTAACCAAAGAACAACAACCATTGCATTAATAAGGTATAAGTTTTTACATAAGTGTTTAAACATTACATATTCAAAGATCGAAAGTACATATAGTAAAAGACAAAAGACGCAGCACGGTACTAGGCTGTCTTCTCAAAAGCTCCGGAAGTGTACCTGTCCACTGGATTCCTGAGAATACAAGTTCTTTTGAAAGAGAGGATCAGCATTTAAGCTAGTGAGCTCATAAGTATTTTTGTTATAAAAGTATACTCTATGAGTACATAATGAATACAAGTTATATACAAACCGAATCAAACAAACAATCGATTGTGTGAATCTGCCCTAAGCCCACAACCAGAAAAGGAACAGGAAGTAAGGCGGAAATCACACATCCCATTGTTTGTTAGATTCTCATCGTATATAGCCCCGACGTATTCACTAGGTGCTTACGGAGTTAACTGTAATAGTTCTATTACATTTGATGGAAATGTTCTTTTAAGAAAGTCATATATTTTCTTTCGTAAATTGGTAACCACAATAGTTCTTACTATAATTGCTTAGTTTATACTAGCTACATATAATCTAATATCGAACGGACAGTTAATTGTGTGAATCTGCCGTAACCCCACAACCAAACAAGGAACAGGAAGTAAGGCGGAAATCACACATTCCACTACCTATCGGATATTAATTATATATATCTCTAATGTATAAACTAAGGAATTATAGCAATAACCATTTAAGGTCCTATATGTTATACTAGTTTAATAGGAAGTATTAAACCTTTTATAAGTTCCTAGTTTCACTAACTCTATTGTAAAACTTTGTTTTCGGTAATAAATGTTATTGTTTTCAGAAAGTTCTGTCGGAGACTGTTTACCTTAAGATAACGATATTTACCATAGAAAATCCTATATTTTCCGCTTTACCACTGAAAAGTAGTTTTAATCCCATAAAACCGTTACATTTAAGTGTTGTTGTACTTATAACATAATTTGACATAATTTTAACCCACCATAAATTATAAGGAGAATGTTTTCCATTTTGTTTGTGGAAAGTGATTGGTGGAGTAGTATTTCTTAAACATACACTACTGGTGTAATAACTACCCTATTATTAAACTTGTTAATTAGGGTTTAAAATGTGATAAAGTTGTAACCATGTTGATAGACTAGAATAAACACAACGACTTTCTGATGTCGAAACTGAATATGTGACATTTGTCACCCGTAGACCGATAGGTCCCACTGTAGCTAGTAGCGAGGTGTGGGATTGTCAGTCCCGTATAGATCTATACACACAATGCCCGATCTCCCTCCAGGAGACTCTGGTGACAAGAGTATGACATAACAAGTATATTGCTATGTCCTGAAAACGTACCATCACATTTTGGTTTAAGTAAAGATTGAATTATACCATTTTCTTGACAAAGTAGTTTAAACCTCGTATACTTATCTAGAAAATAGGTATCTCGTTTGTTTCATAAATTATACCTATTATAATTTATACGTTCTATCTGATTAGCATGATCTCTCATGAATGAACCCCTTTGCTCAGCGTGATACAAAGGTAATGATACTGACTGAAGTAACATTTTATATTCCTATATGTATAATTTATATAATTAAGAAGGAAACGACATTCGGGCAAATAATCCCACCTTAAGCCCACATCCAAACAAGGAAAAGGAAATAAGACAACTCATTAGTACTAAGCCCTTTAAATCTTATTTATATACTTATACATATATGAACATGATTTTGACAATTATAAATTTAAAGTGTTTAACAGTTTTCGAAGAGTTTAACAGTGTTTAAAAAGAGTCTACATAACTTTAAATCATTTTGGAAGTATTGGGTAATCATTTATTGTTAACACAATATTTATAAACACAAGAAAACCTTTTGTGTGATTGTTATCGCATGTAATCAATATTAATTGTGTTCAACTTGTATTCCCCCCCCCCCCATAAAAGCATTTAAAATCATTAAAAAGATAGATTATAGGGGGTATGAACTCACCTTATGCTGGTGATTCGATTGAAGATATGATATAGGATGATTGGTATGCCAAGTGAAGTCCCGAGCACAAATGGATCCTATTTAGCATATATTAACATATATATATGTATGAAATTAGGGCCTATAACAGCTAATATGTAAAGGAAACAACCTTAGGAACTAGGAAACACTTACAATGAAGTGTTAGAACCGAAAATGAAGGGCTGAAAGATGATCACGGCCACACAAGAGGAGTTCACGGCCCTTGAAGGGTTCACGGTCCAAGAACACTTGAAGTGTTCACGACCCAAATGATGAATGTTTGAAGGGTTCACGACCAATATGAAGGGTTCACGACCAGAACTTCTTGAAGATCTTGAAGATTTTGATGAAAAGTGAAGGATCAATAGATGAAAGCAAGTGGTTTCCAAGGAATAACAAGAAAAGGGTGTCATACTTACATTTTTTAGATGAAAGGAGACCCTTTTGTGGATGATACTTGAGAGAGAAGGGGAGAGTTCACGGCTGGAAGATGAGAAATGAAGAGAAAAATGGCTAACACCCATATATATAGAGGAGGGTAGTTCACGGCCCAAGGATGGGTTCACGACCGTGAACCTAGTTTGCGGCCGTGAACCTCTTTTGAAGGTGTTTCCGGCTAGAATGCAGTCCACTGATCTCTTGCTAACACTTCCTAACGCACAATCCTAACTTATACTAGGCTTAGAAACATATAAATTTGACCTTTAGTTGCTGTTTTTGACTTTACAAGAATAAAATTTTCGGGTTGTCACAAGAAGCATAATATAGATCCATGGCTAGCACTATATGTGAGGTTTTATGGCTAAGGTGGCTCCTTTAAGACTAGGATGCTGCTAAGTGGGTCCTACACCTCTAATGTATGACATTGAAGCTGCTAGAAACATTGCAGCAAATCCAGTCTATCATGAACGGACAAAATATGTTGAGATGGACTGTTATTTTGTCTGTAAAAGGGTCAATAGTAGGGAGATCAAAACGCTTACTATCCGGTCTGAACTTCAAACAGCCGGCATTTTTACTAAAGCACGTGATTTCAAGTTTCTTTGTGTCAAGTTGGGTGTTCGAGATCTACACACTCCAACTTGAGAGGGAATATTGAGATTATAATCATCTTCGTACTTATCTAGGATTCTGTTTTTCCTAGTATATAATCATCATCCCTGTTAAATTGGTTTTTAAATTCAATAACAAGAAAACTTTTATTAATCTCAAAACTTTTTAGAAAAAATGTGGTGTAAAAAAACAAAAAGTTAAGAATTTCTGTGCCATTTACCCATAAATATAAGCATAAACCTACAAATAAATATAAGTATAAACTTAGTATAAGCAAAATTAATGGCCTAAAAAAATCCTAGTTGGCCAAATCACATACGCACTTTCTAAAATTCTATAACAACAAAATTTAGATAAATTATATTACAAACTTTCATATAATAAATGGCGATTTTTCTTGATTTGGCACCAACGTTGAGTATCTGATAGCTCTACTTCGTTTTCTAGTGAATCGTGTTCGTTACCGAACAACGACTCGATTTGTTCCAATGATTTTCCTTTCGTCTCAGGAACAAATTTGTAAACGAAAATAACCGATAAACCAGATACCATGGTGAAAATAAAAAATGTCCCCGACATCGAAATGGCATGAGAAACACATAAAAACGACATTGCAACAATACCACTACAAACCCTATTCCCTACTGCCCCTAACGAGAATGCTTGTGCCCTTAACCGCAATGGAAATATCTCTGATGTCAAAACTCCGCAAATTGGTCCGATTCCGACCCAAAAGAACGCCACGTTCCCGCAAACCAATAGAATCACCAATTCCACTCCCATATATGTTCCACTAAAAAATGAAAGAACGATCGATAAACCGCACAAACAACAAGTCCTTCCAATGGTGCTCACATATAGTAACGGCTTTCTTCCGACTTTATCAATGACTAAGATTGCCACCATGATAAAGGCGGTTTTCGAGATTCCGACGGCTACGGTGGCGGCTAAAAGTCTTGACTTGTCTTGAAGTCCGGCGGTTTGTAGGATCTCAGGGCTGTAGTACATCGTCGCGTCAATTCCGGTGATCTGTTGGAAACATTGGATTCCGATTCCGGTGAATAGCATTCGCCGGACAGATGGCGTCGGAGAAAGCAATTCCCGCCAGACGGCGGTGTCTCCGGTTCTTGCTCCAGCGGATGCTAGTATCTCCGATAGCCGCTCCTCCGCCTCTGAGTCCATCTCATTTGTTTTCATCAAAACCGATCTTGCTTCATCGACTCGGTTTTTGCATCACTAACCACCTTGGTGATTCCGGGATTATGAATATTGCAAATGCTATGAAAACAGACGGAAGGATTCCAACTGCGAGCATGATTCGCCAATTTGTGTGGGAAGAAAATCCAGAAAACGCATAGTTGGATACATAACCTAGTAAAATCCCCAGGTTTATGAATATTTCGGGAAATGAGGTGAATGAACCTCGAGAGATAGTCGGAGAAATTTCGGCGATGTAGACAGGAGCTATCATGACACCGAATCCAATGCCCACTCCGGCAAGGAGTCGACCTATCATTAGAAATTTGAAAGTAGGAGCGAAGGTCATTATAGCTGCACCAATCTGGAAGATGATTGCAGCAAGACCCATGCTCCATTTCCGGCCAACGGCGTCGGAGACTCTTCCTCCGGCCAAACTACCCAATATGGAGATGACACTTAGGCTACCTATGAGAATCTCTTCCTGAAGCTCTGTGATGTTTAGGTCTTCTTGGATGAATATGATTGCTCCACTCATAACACCGACATCTGCATATCAAGAACATTTTGCATCAAGATTCCAAATCTGTATATTTATCTTAATAATACCAATGCATAGATGATGTATTTTTAGGTCAAAAATCAAATATATAAAAAATGGTTGCTTGCTGAAAATAGGCATTGTACCATAAGCTTTAAGCTTTAAAATTAGTACAAAGAGTCGTTTTGGGTTTTTACCATAGCCAAGAAGGACATTGTTGAGAGATGCGAAAACAGCACAAGCAAAAACGTACTTTCTGGTTCTCTTGCTTCTTTGTCGCTGTGTCTGATTGTATTGTACAACCTCTGGATCATTATTACCATAATCGGTAAGCTCAGAATCCATTCTTCTGTACTTGTTCTTTGTTCCTTTATTTTCATCATTCCCAGTTTCTTGGACACCCATGTTTCACTATCTCCCAAAGATACAACTAACTACGTTCCCCGAGGTACAACTGAACTCATCTAAAGATGATTCCTTCAAGGGTTCTTCAGTTCTGTGTTGATGGAGGAAACGTGTTTTGGAATTGGAATGATTTTCCCCTTTAGATCTGATTTGAGCGATAAAAACTAGTTGTTTATTTGTTTATGCAAGTGGGAGATTAGTTTATAACTTCATTTATTAATCCTTTAACCTTAAAAATTAAACAGTTACAAGTTGATAATAAAAAACACTTAATTAAGTTTTCGATGTGAGATCTAATTTTAAAGATGGAAACTTTTTGTAATCAAGACTCAAGAGTTTTAATTAAGTTTTTTGTATTTTTGTAAGATAATTTAAATTCGAGTAAATTATAATTTGGTCCTTACATTTTAACAAAAATCATAAGTTATGTTCAAATTTCAAATCATCCCAATGTGATGATGTCTTTAGATTTGTATTTTGTTGCGGGTCCATACCCAAATACCCAATAAATGACTTCGAAGTTTGGACTACATTTGCATTTGAGCAAAACACACGGTCATACAAAGTTAAGGACGATGTGGAGACAATTTCAAAATTTGGACCGAACTTTTAGTTTTATGTAAAGCTTAGTGACCAAATTTGATTTTTATTGTTTTATTATTATATTTTTATTTAAGAAGCAAGATGCATCTATAAAGATCTCCGTCTCTTTTGATAAAAATTCTTGATCGTAAACTAATAAGTTAGCAGTGTAAATGGTTACCATTCTCATTGCCCCTTTCAATACACATACACGACAATATATATACAGAACGAGAAAGGATATATATTGGGCCCGACTACACAATGGACTAACTGGTCTAATAGAATAAATACAATAATAAAATGTCGGCTAACATCCCCCCGCAGTTTGATCGGGAGGGTGCCGGACGTTCAAACTGTCTCGAAAGTCAAGACACAGAGTAGATGGCAGGCCTTTGGTGAAGATGTCGGCATACTGAGAGGACGAAGGTACATGAAGAACACGTATGGCCCCAGTAGCGCCATGATCGCGAACAAAATGTATGTCGATCTCTATGTGTTTTGTTCGTTGATGTTGCACCGGATTTGACGACATGTATACTGCACTAATGTTGTCACAATATATAATGGTGGCTTTGCGAGGAGGACAATGGAGTTCGCGAAGGAGATTGCGTATCCAACAAGATTCGACGACAACATTAGCCACTCCCCGATATTCAGATTCGGCACTCGATCGAGAGATGACACCTTGTCGTTTGGAAGACCATGAAACAAGGTTGTCGCCAAGAAACACACAATATCCAGATGTAGAGCGACGGGAGACAGGACATCCTCCCCAATCGGCGTCAGAGTAAGCCGTGAGGGAGGTATGTGGAGAGACATGTATATGAAGGCTGTGGTCAAGAGTGCCACGTATGTAGCGCAAGATACGCTTGAGAGCATTGAAGTGCGGTTCTCGGGAATCATGCATATATAAGCAGATTTGCTGAACAGCAAAGGTGATGTTCGGGCGAGTGAAGGTAAGATATTGGAGGGCACCTGCTAGACTGTGGTATAGAGAGGGATCGGTGACAGGGTTATCAGTGGAATCTAGCTTGTGAGTCGTCTCTACAGGAGTGTGGCATGGGTTACAATTGAGCATATTGGCATGTTGAAGAATGTCTCTGGCGTATTTTTGTTGAGATAAAAATAAGCCGTTGGGGCTTCGAGTAGCTGAAATGCCTAGAAAATAGCTAAGAGCACCCATGTCTGTCATAGAAAACTCCTTGCTCAGAAGGGTGATGATCTGTTGAAGAAAATCCGTAGAAGAGCTCGTCAGGATAATATCATCGACATATAATAACAGATACGCAATGTGGTGCCTCGAATGATAGAAAAAAAAAAGAACCGGGTCGGTGCGACTGTGCGTGAATTCGAGATGAGCAACATGCTCAACAAATCGGTGGTACCATGCACGGGGGCCTGCTTCAAGCCATATAAGGATTTCTGAAGGAGGCAAACGTGATTGGGTAAATGCACATCACGAAAGCCTGGGGGTTGATGCATATAGACTGTCTCCTGGAGGTTGCCGTGAATAAAGGCATTCTTCACGTCTAACTGGTGAATGGGCTAATGACGGGAGACGGCTAAGCTGAGGACCGTGCGGATGGTAGCCGGTTTAACAACCGGACTAAAGGTCTCATCACAATCTATGTAAGGCTGTTGGCTTCGACAATTGGCAACAAGTCGTGCTTTGTATCTTGAGAGAGAGCCGTCTGAATTAAACTTTTGTTTAAATAGCCACATGGATCGGACAATGTTAACCCCTGTCGGCCGAGGAAATAGCTTCCAAGTACTATTTGAAATAAGAGCATGATATTCCTCGTTCATAGCTTTATGCCAGTTTGGATCTTGCATTTCCTGTAAGTATGACTTAGGGATAGGGAGTGGGAAGAAGTGTGAAGATTTAGGCGTTGGATGGGTTTGTGAATGCCACTTTTGGCACGGGTTTGCATCGGATGAGTTGTAGGAGGAGGTTTGGTAGTGTTTAAGGAAGTGGGGATGGTAGAGGTGGTTTCAGTATTTGAGAGAGAGGAGGGGGAGAGTTGTGGATTGGGAGTATTGGGCTCTGGGGGGAGGTTGGGGGGTAGGTGGGTTTGCGTGAGAAATAGGAGGAGAAGGGACGAGATATTGGTGAAGAAGGGGTGAGGGATCAAGGTTTTCATGAAGGAAGTCATATGTGGGTGGTTCATCGGGGGTGACGGACCCATAAGGGAATGTGGTCTCATCGAAGGTGACATGTCGGGAGATTATAATTTTACGAGTACACAAATCGTAGCACCAATACCCGCTATGGAGAGAAGGGTATCCAAGGAAAATGCAAGGAGTGGTGCAAGGTTGAAGTTTATGTATGGTAGTGAGGTGAGGATAACATAGACAACCGAAGACCCAAAGATTAAAGTAGGTTGGATGTTTTTGATAGAGGCGAAAATGAGGGGTGTCATGATTAATGGTAGAAGATGGCAGGATATTTAGAAGGTATGAAGCCACGTGGAGAGCTTCAACCCAAAAATGTGGAGGGAGATGAGCTTGAAAGAGAAGGGTTTGAACGGTGTTGTTTATGGTGCGGAGCATACGTTCGGACTTCCCGTTTTGTTGGGAAGTATGAGGACATGAAAAACGAAAGGTAATACCATTTGAGGCAAAACATTCATGAAATGAATGATTGTCATATTCACCCCCATTGTCACATTGAAGAGCTTTGATGGAACATCCAAATTGAGTCTTGACAATGTTCATGAAATGTAGGAATTTGCTAAAAACATCGGATTTGCGTTTGAGAGGGTAAACCCAAAGATAGTGAGTGAAATGGTCAAGGATGATAACGTAGTATTGAATTCCACTCGTGCTTGCAATTGGTGATGTCCAAATATCAGAATGTATGATGTCAAATTTATTTGCAACACTTGAGTTGGAAGAGAAAAAAGGTAAGCGAGTAAATTTGCCAAATTAACAAGATTGACATAAAACACTAGTATCGTATTTATTACATGAAATAACATTATTTAAAATTAAAGACTTTAACACTTGGTCACCGGGATGACCGAGTCGTTGGTGCCAAAAAGAGCGACTTGACGATACCCAGCTGTGGAGGGATATACACCCACCCAAAACGCTGCTGTTGCATTTTCTGCTGTTGCTGTCGACGCTTGGAGGGTTGCCGACGATCGTCCCGACGGTCAGGACGTCTATCATTTCGGCGATCGTTACGACGAGGTTGATTTCCACCATTTGCAGCAGGATTTCTGGAGGTATATAGCACAGTAGATGAAGAGCTGTGGTTTGTGTGAGACGGAGAGGGGGTGACACGAGTGTGCTCCATGCCTTGTTCTTCAAGAAGAATGATGGACCAAGCCTCCGCGAATGTAGGAAATGGAGAGTGATGGCGCACAATGCTCGCTACATAATGGAACTTAGAGGATAGCCCATTGATGGCATACATAACGAGATTTTTATCCGGGACTGTTGTGCCAATATTCTGGAGGAGATTAGCAATGGTTTGAATTTTGGTGAAGTAGGCGATGGCTGTGAGATCTCCCATTGTCATGTTGCATAGTTGATTGTCTAGTTCCATAGCTTTTGCGTTTTTGTTGGTGTGGAATAGATTCTCGACTGCAACCCAAAGAGATCGGGCTGTAGAGTTGTATTTCGTGACCATGTGAAGGAGGTTTTGAGACATCGATCCGTATAGCCATAGTTTCACCATATTGTCAACTCTCTTCGATTCATCATCAGTTGGTTTGGGTTCAGAATCATCGACATGATCAATGACATCGAAGGCGATGCAGTGGGTGGAGAAAAGTTCTCTCCAAGTGTCGTAGTTCATCCGTTCGAGATCGAGAAGAAGAGGAACATAAGTCTTGATGTTAGTGATACCAAAAGCTTTGTTTGAAGGTGCATTGGGTATGGCATCTCCCATGGTGGTCGGCAGTAGGATAGAAAGGAGGTAGGGTTACTGGATTTTGGAAAAGGCAAGAGATCAGTTAATTGGAAAGAAGAAAGGAAATAGGAAGATTTTTAGGAGGAGATTGAGAGGACGATATTGAGCTCTGATACCATGTAAATGGTTACCATTCTCATTGCCCCTTTCAATACACATACACGACAATATATATACAGAACGAGAAAGGATATACATTGGGCCCGACTACACAATGGGCTAACTGGTCTAATAGAATAAATACAATAATACAATGTCGGCTAACAAGCTGTTGTTTGATAAACATCTTAATGGTTCAATTAAGATGTAACATCTTAACCGTTTAGGATCTATTTATCTCTTATAAATGAGATCATTCAAATGAATATGGTTTAAGATAGATCATCTATTTTGGACCATATTCATTTGAGACTCTCAAACTCTTCAACTTATTTCACTTAAATGATAATACAACTCAAAAGTTTTTAATTTACGATAGTTAATTAGTACTTATGACATATGAT